TTCTGTTCTTTTTCTTTCTTTTCTTTTTCTTTCTTTTCTGTCTGTCTGTCTGTCTGTCTGTCTGTCTGTCTGTCTGTCTTTCTTTCTGTCTGTCTGTCATTTCCTGGTTTCCTATGGCTATGTTGCTTGCTTGACTGTACGTTTCCTTGTGTGTATGTGTGGATGTGTGGATATGTGTGTGTGTGGATGTGTGTATGTGTGGATGTGTGTATGTGTGGATGTGTGGATGTGTTGATGTGTGGATGTGTGGATGTGTGTATGTGTGTATGTGTGGATATGTGTATGTGTATATGTGTGTGTGTGGATGTGGTGACCACAGTTCTTAAATCTGCAGTGATAATTCCCGTGTCCTGGTGACGTCTGTTGAACGGTTGTCTTGTTTTTACTTTTTACTTAGAGATCGCATCGTTTTCATTTCATGATTTAGCTCTCTCTTCTGGTTGTGATTAGTCGGCACTGTGGCTAAGTCGATGCGAACGCTTCGTAATGTCGGGGTACCAGGTTCAATCCCAGCTGCGAGCCTTGCGCATTGTCCAAGTCCAAGTCCTTTTGGGAAAAACATGAAAAGGTCGACCACTTTCAGACTGCTTCTAGCTAGCCGAGGCTGCTAACAGTCTCCGCCTATATTTGTGGTCTGGGTTATTTGTGTCACTTTCGTGACTAAATTCTAGTATTGCGCCATTTCTGGGCTTGATGCTTCCATCCGGTTCTGACCGCTCGTCCTGCACCCTGTTGTTCGCTGTTCGTTTCTGTCCTTTTCTTATCTGGTGTCTCCTCTTGGTGTCATCTCTCTCTGATTTGGCCAGGCGTATCTCGTAGGAGAGCGAGTTTTTCCACACAACGTCCTTTGGACCACGATTTATAATTTTAAAATTCTGAGTATTTTATTTTGCTAAAAAGTACTGAAAACAGTTTTTGATTTTGGATAGTTCCGAAATGTGAAAATTAAATTGGTTTCGACAGTGGTATCAAGAAAGCCGACCTTCCAGAAAGCAATGGCAAACTACTGGACGTAAATTTGCCTAGAAAAACCACACAACAGCCAGGGGCTGTAAAGGATACGCAGCAAACTAACATTGTTGTGATTATGGTCTACATTGCAGGACCATCCTGTATCATTGTTGGCTGTTTATTTTATAATTTTGCACTATTTTTGTTTTTAAAATAACGGGATGAGGTTGCCTATCCTTAGTCGCCTCTTACGACATGCATAGTAAAGTGCAATGTTACTATTTTCTAGAAGCAATGGCCCTGGTAACTTACGGGTGGTAGAAATACTAGCCGACAATAGGTGACCTCGGGACCCTGGGGTAGCCTGTTATTGCTGTGTTGTGTCGATGAGCAAGGCTTTGGGCATCTCCCCTTGTTGGATGAGAACAGGAATAGTGACTTCTCCTGTTGTCCATAGCTGTGAGTGTTTTAGGCTGGAATCCCAACACACACACAATCTACCTCTAGCGACCACTTGAGAACGTTCATAAGAACAGCTTCACAGTTAGCCCATTTGTACATCTTATCATCACAAACATCATGTGCCATGCCGGTAAGCGTTGGCTGTCGTGTTTTACTATCTCACACCAGAATTACAGATCAGTTCGATATTTATGTCTCACCTCTTGCACCTAGTCAGGCCCTCCAGGTGTGTATCTCTTCGCCCCCATCTTCGTATCTCTCCATCAAGTTCTCTGGTCCTTTCTTCTCACAATATGTCTACAATTATTGACTGCCTACGTCTGATTGTTTGACTGTCTACGTCTGATTGTTTGACTGTTTACGTCTGATTGTTTGACTGTCTACGTCTGATTGTTTGACTGTCTACGTCTGATTGTTTGACTGCCTACGTCTGATTGTTTGACTGTCTACGTCTGATTGTTTGACTGTTTACGTCTGATTGTTTGACTGTCTACGTCTGATTGTTTGACTGTTTACGTCTGATTGTTTGACTGTCTACGTCTGATTGTTTGACTGTTTACGTCTGATTGTTTGACTGTTTACGTCTGATTGTTTGACTGTTTACGTCTGATTGTTTGACTGTCTACGTCTGATTGTTTGACTGTCTACGTCTGATTGTTTGACTGTCTACGTCTGATTGTTTGACTGTCTACGTCTGATTGTTTGACTGTCTACGTCTGATTGTTTGACTGTCTACGTCTGATTGTTTGACTGTTTACGTCTGATTGTTTGACTGTCTACGTCTGATTGTTTGACTGTCTACGTCTGATTGTTTGACTGTCTACGTCTGATTGTTTGACTGCCTACGTCTGATTGTTTGACTGTCTACGTCTGATTGTTTGACTGTCTACGTCTGATTGTTTGACTGTCTACGTCTGATTGTTTGACTGTCTACGTCTGATTGTTTGACTGTCTACGTCTGATTGTTTGACTGTTTACGTCTGATTGTTTGACTGTCTACGTCTGATTGTTTGACTGTCTCTTCTGATTGTGTGAATGTCTACGTCTGATTGTTTGAATGTCTACGTCTGATTGTTTGAATGTCTACGTCTGATTGTATGACTGTCAACGTCTGATTGTTTGAATGTCTACGTCTGATTGTTTGAATGTCTACGTCTGATTGTTTGAATGTCTACGTCTGATTGTTTGAATGTCTACGTCTGATTGTATGAATGTCTACGTCTGATTGTTTGAATGTCTACGTCTGATTGTTTGAATGTCTACGTCTGATTGTTTGAATGTCTACGTCTGATTGTTCTGCATCTTATCGGACCAAGAACACAGGACTTAAACCTGGGTTTCCCACATCAAAGTCCAGCGTTGTCAGTAGCTCGGCCGTCTAGTTTATACAGCGTTGAAATTAGTCGTATAGCTACCCGTTTTCACAATTTGACATTCACACAAGTTCACATTTTCGTCAATTTCTATATTCACACTAGCCATACTACTTCACGTTTTCATCAACTTTATATTCACACTAGCTATACTACTTCTCGTTTTCATCAACTTTATATTCACACTAGCTATACTACTTCACGTTTTCATCAACTTTATATTCACACTAGCTATACTACTTCACGTTTTCATCAACTTTATATTCACACTAGCTATACTACTTCACGTTTTCATCAACTTTATATTCACACTAGCTATACTACTTCACGTTTTCATCAACTTTATATTCACACTAACTGTACTACTTCACGTTTTCATCAACTTTATATTCACACTAACTGTACTACTTCACGTTTTCATCAACTTTATATTCACACTAGCTATACTACTTCACGTTTTCATCAACTTTATATTCACACTAGCTATACTACTTCACGTTTTCATCAACTTTATATTCACACTAACTGTACTACTTCACGTTTTCATCAACTTTATATTCACACTAACTGTACTACTTCACGTTTTCATCAACTTTGTATTCACACTAACTGTACTACTTCACGTTTTCATCAACTTTATATTCACACTAACTGTACTACTTCACGTTTTCATCAACTTTATATTCACACTAGCTATACTACTTCACGTTTTCATCAACTTTATATTCACACTAGCTATACTACTTCACGTTTTCATCAACTTTATATTCACACTAACTGTACTACTTCACGTTTTCATCAACTTTATATTCACACTAACTGTACTACTTCACGTTTTCATCAACTTTATATTCACACTAGCTATACTACTTCACGTTTTCATCAACTTTATATTCACACTAGCTATACTACTTCACGTTTTCATCAACTTTATATTCACACTAGCTATACTACTTCATGTTTTCATCAACTTTATATTCACACTAACTGTACTACTTCACGTTTTCATCAACTTTATATTCACACTAACTGTACTACTTCACGTTTTCATCAACTTTATATTCACACTAACTGTACTATTTCACATTTTCATCAACTTTATATTCACACTAACTGTACTACTTCACGTTTTCATCAACTTTATATTCACACTAGCTGTACTACTTCACGTTTGCATCAACTTTATATTCACACTAGCTGTACTACTTCACGTTTGCATCAACTTTATATTCACACTAGCTGTACTACTTCACGTTTTCATCAACTTTATATTCACACTAGCTATACTACTTCACGTTTTCATCAACTTTATATTCACACTAGCTGTACTACTTCACGTTTTCATCAACTTTGTATTCACACTAGCTGTACTACTTCACGTTTTCATCAACTTTATATTCACACTAGCTGTACTACTTCACGTTTTCATCAACTTTATATTCACACTAACTGTACTACTTCACGTTTTCATCAACTTTATATTCACACTAGCTATACTACTTCACGTTTTCATCAACTTTATATTCACACTAGCTATACTACTTCACGTTTTCATCAACTTTAAATTCACACTAGCTGTACTACTTCACGTTTTCATCAACTTTATATTCACACTAACTGTACTACTTCACGTTTTCATCAACTTTATATTCACACTAGCTGTACTACTTCACGTTTGCATCAACTTTATATTCACACTAGCTGTACTACTTCACGTTTGCATCAACTTTATATTCACACTAGCTGTACTACTTCACGTTTGCATCAACTTTATATTCACACTAGCTGTACTACTTCACGTTTGCATCAACTTTATATTCACACTAGCTGTACTACTTCACGTTTGCATCAACTTTATATTCACACTAGCTGTACTACTTCACGTTTTCATCAACTTTATATTCACACTAGCTGTACTACTTCACGTTTTCATCAACTTTATATTCACACTAGCTATACTACTTCTCGTTTTCATCAACTTTATATTCACACTAGCTATACTACTTCACGTTTTCATCAACTTTATATTCACACTAGCTGTACTAGTTCACGTCTGCATCAACTTAGTTTTTGCTAGCATCACGCGGTCACCAGTACTACAACAACAGACCAGCAACCCTACAACAGTTATATATTGCGCATGTTTCATAATTGTTCGTTGACTCGAATCCTATGTTGAACCCTTTCCACAGCTTTATGACGATAACATTTATAAAGTCATTAGTTTACACAACTTTGTGACGATGACATTTATAAAGTCAACAGTTTCCATAACTTTATGACGATAAGATTTGTAAAGTCAGCAGTTTCCATAACTTTATGACGATAAGATTTGTAAAGTCAGCAGTTTCCATAACTTTATGACAATAACATTTATAAAGTCAACAATTTACACAACTTTATGACGATAACAGTTATTAAGTCAATAGTGTACACAACTCTGTGACAGTAATATTTATAAAGTTAAAAGTTGCCGCAAATTTACATTCACATAAATCAAATAATGTGTTCAGACTACATGCCCATGTGTCTGTGTGTTGAAGTTCATTTATTCCTTCTTCTGATTGGCATTGTCTCGACTTCAGATCCCCGTGTGACCATAATTTTCAATGTATGTGTTGTCTAGTGTGTTCACTAATCTATACTTCCTGCCCTACTTGTGTGAGTGTCGATCAATACCTGCCAATTTGTTTCCCAACGCCAAGCTAAGATCAAGTTACGTGCAGTAACAGAAATCGATAGCTCGTTTGGCCCACCGTGCATAGTCACAGTGCATCTATAAGTGCTTGGGTTGTAATCCCGTCTGCAACCCTATTGCTATTGACTTGAGCTCGAGTACCAGTCTGTGACTACTCAGTGTCTATTATGTGGCCAGTCTATATTTAGAACTGCTGAATTAATGTTCTAGGATTTGATTGTGCACGGCGACAAAATTGGCCCCGCACCGATCATGGCTGGTAGGAAACTAGGTCAGGCGTGTCTGCAGGGCCGTGCAAGGTCACTTTTGTACAGTTCTGGGGGATGCGTATCTGGTTTGGGGTAAGAGTTGAGATATTCAAGTTGTTAGCTGTAAATAACACTTATATAAAGTGCATCATTATTTAATGAATGATACTTGTAAATCTGAATGTATTTGTCGTGTAGAAATGACACATGTAAAGGAAATACATTTTTGATGTGAAGGGATGACACTGAAGTTACTGATATTAGTATTTAGTGTATTGTAATAACACTTATAAACTGCCGTCAGTATTTAGTGTATAGTAATGACACTTATAAACTGCCGTCAGCATTTAGTGTATAGTAATGACACCTATAAACTGCCGACAATATTTAGTGTATAATAATGACATTTATAAACTGCCGTCAGTATTTAGTGTATAGTAATGACACTTATAAACTGCCGTCACTATTTAGTGTATAGTAATGACACTTATAAACTGTCTTCAGTATTTAGTGTATAGTAATGACACTTATAAACTGCCCTCAATATTTAGCGTATAGTAATGACACTTATAAACTGCCGTCAGTATTTAGTGTATTGTAATGACACTTATAAACTGCCGTCAGTATTTAGTGTATAGTAATGCCACTTATAAACTGCCGTCAGTATTTAGTGTATAGTAATGCCACTTATAAACTGCCGTCAGTATTTAGTGTATTGTAATGACAATTATAAACTGCCGTCAGTATTTAGTGTATAGTAATGACGCCTGTAAACTGCCGTCAGTATTTATTGTATTGTTATGACACCTATGAACTGCCGTCAGTATTCAGTGTAAAGTAATGACACTTATGAGCTGCCGTCAGTATTTGGTGTATAGTAATGACACTTATGAACTGCTGTCAGTAATTAGTTTATAGTAATGACATTTATGAGCTGCCGTCAGTATTTGGTGTATAGTAATGACACTTATTTTACCTTATATTAGTATTTAATGCGTAGAAGTAAAACCTGCATAATCTAATGCCAGTATTTAGTGTGTAGAAAAAAAAAACGTAACCAAAACAACATCATCAGCCGTTTCTGCTACCACGACTACTATTACAACAATTAGTTCTACTACTGCTACCATCACTACTATTACAACAGTTACTTCTACTACTGCTACCACCACTACTATTACAACAATTACTTCTACTATTGCTACCACTACTATTACAACAGTTACTTCTACTACTGCTACCACCACTACTGATACAACAGTTACTTCTACTACTGCTACCACCACTACTGATACAACAGTTACTTCTACTACTGCTACCACCACTACTGATACAACAGTTACTTCTACTACTGCTACCACCACTACTACAACAGTTACTTCTACTACTGCTACCACCACTACTGATACAACAGTTACTTCTACTACTGCTACCACCACTACTATTACAACAATTACTTCTACTACTGCTACCACCACTACCATTACAACAATTACTTCTACTACTGCTACCACCACTACTATTACAACAATTACTTCTACTACTGCTACCACTACTATTACAACAATTACCTCTACTACTGCTACCACTACTATTACAACAATTTGTTCTACTACTGCTACAACCACTACTGTTACAACAATTAGTTCTACTACTGCTACCACCACTATTATAATGGTTACTTCAATTACTGCTAGCACCACTACTATTACAACAATTACTTCTACTACTGCTACCACCACCACTATTACAACAATTACTTCTACTACTGCTACCACCACTATTACAACAGTTACTTCTACTACTGCTACCACCACTATTATTACAACAATTAGTTCTACTACTGCTACCACCACTATTACAACAGTTACTTTTACTACTGCTACCACCACTATTACAACAATTACTTCTACTACTGCTACCACGACTACTATTACAACAATTAGTTCTACTACTGCTACCATCACTACTATTACAACAGTTACTTCTACTACTGCTACCACCACTACTATTACAACAATTACTTCTACTACTGCTACCACCACTACTGATACAACAGTTACTTCTACTACTGCTACCACCACTACTGATACAACAGTTACTTCTACTACTGCTACCACCACTACTGATACAACAGTTACTTCTACTACTGCTACCACTATTATTACAACAGTTACTTCTACTACTGCTACCACCACTACTATTGCAACAATTACTTCTACTAATGCTACCATCACTACTATTACAACAATTACTTCCACTACTGCTACTACCACTACTATTATCACTTTAACTACTAAAACACTGCTACTGCTAATAATAATAGTAATACAAATAATAAAAATAATAATAACAATAATTCCCAAAGGAGCAAACGCCATCACCTCTCCCAAAAATTAAAATGTGAAGTACAATTGTTGCTATGCGACCCGAAGCATGTCTTCACCTGTCTATCATCCTTTGACCAATCGTCTGTGTCCACCATACTGCCAATGATTGTCCACCAACGATGGACGCTACATGTTGACCCCAGGTTGCCCTCGTGGTCAGCAACACATGTGCCACCTATGTCCATAGAACTGGCCAATGAGGCGCAAGAAACGGTACTACTGGAGGACGACGATGGAGCTTGGCCCGTGCTGGAGGACATGGAGCTTGCCACATGTTGGCTGGTGGTTCTAGAGCATTGGCTAGGGGCAGGGGCGTTGTCTGGACAGTGGCATTGCTGGGAAAATTCCAGGAGGCGGGGGCATTAATAGTAATTAAACTGTAATGGACCAACATAACAAAGAAAAATTTAGGACGATAATGACATTCTAATAAAAGAGAAAACAGTAGAATAATAAAAAAAAAAAAAAAAGAACTAGAATAATGTACCATCCGATAGAAGAGGAGCAACTAAGAGAGAAGACAGAAGAAGAGAAGAATGCTTTTCACACCAGGTATTAGCACTTGGCCCTCTCAGTGATTGATTATGGACTAGGACAACTCACTGTCTCTAAGAGTTAACTGATTAAAATAGAGTACATTCAGAACGTAGCTGTGTGGTCATTTTGGGACGTAGCAGAGACACCCCAGTAGTGTGTATTCGATACATCCTTGGTTTGTCGACTGTTGTAGGTAGGCGCTTATCATATTTCAGAGTAGCTGCAGACACAGATCACCTTTTGCACGAAGCGCTAGACGCAGTTAAGGGTCAGCGGCTGATAAAAGGGAGGTCATGGTTGGCTGAGGAGGAGGACATCGTCAGACAGGTTTGCATCATGAAGAACATTGGGCGAGGAGAGGAGTGGGTCAGAGGTCCAGGGAAACAGTCAGATTTGTGTAGTCATAATCAGATCGAGCTGGGAGTGGCCAGCAGGTGTCATAGAGGTAGAAGTTCAGCAGTTAATTCAGGATAATGCTCGCTCGAGGGATGTGATTTTTTTATACAGACGGTTTACTGTCAAGAGGCAAAATAAGTGCCCGTGGAATTCTTAGCAACAGCTTATAGTCGACGTTTGGTGTAGACACGAGAGAGAAGATAATAATGACCCACTTACACGAGAGAGGAGATAATAATGACCCACTAACACGAGAGAGGAGATAATAATGACCCACTGACACGAGAGAGAAGATAATAATGACCCACTGACACGAGAGAGAAGATAATAATGACCCACTAACACGAGAGAGGAGATAATAATGACCCACTGACACGAGAGAGAAGATAATAATGACCCACTGACACGAGAGAGGAGATAATAATGACCCACTAACACGAGAGAGGAGATAATAATGACCCACTGACACGAGAGAGAAGATAATAATGACCCACTGACACGAGAGAGAAGATAATAATGACCCACTGACACGAGAGAGGAGATAATAATGACCCACTGACACGAGAGAGGAGATAATAATGACCCACTGACGCGAGAGAGAAGATAATAATGATCCACTAACACGAGAGAGGAGATAATAATGACCCACTGACACGAGAGAGGAGATAATAATGACCCACTGACACGAGAGAGGAGATAATAATGACCCAATGAAACGAGAGAGGAGATAATAATGACCCACTAACACGAGAGAGGAGATAATAATGACCCACTGACACGAGAGAGGAGATAATAATGACCCACTGACACGAGAGAGAAGATAATAATGACCCACTGACACGAGAGAGGAGATAATAATGACCCACTGACACGAGAGAGGAGATAATAATGACCCACTGACGCGAGAGAGAAGATAATAATGACCCACTAACACGAGAGAGGAGATAATAATGACCCACTGACACGAGAGAGGAGATAATAATGACCCACTGACGCGAGAGAGAAGATAATAATGACCCACTAACACGAGAGAGGAGATAATAATGACCCACTGACACGAGAGAGGAGATAATAATGACCCACTGACGCGAGAGAGGAGATAATAATGACCCACTGACACGACAGAGGAGATAATAATGGACCTCTAACACCAGAGAGAAGATAATAATGGACCTCTAACACTAGAGAGAGAGAGTATAGCTATGGACCACTGACTCTAGAGAGAAGATAATTATGGCGACTAAAACGAGAGAGTAGATAATTATGGCCGACTAAAACGAGAGAGAAGGTAATAATGGCCTATTAAAGAGAAAGAAAAATGAAAGTGGACGAGACAAACGAGAGAATGGCTTACACACCCATAGAAGAGTGGCTACCCAGACAAAACAAAGCCAGTACAATCTGTCTCCATAGAAGAGCGGCTACCCAGACAAAACGAAGTCAGGACAATCTGTCTCCATAGAAGAGTGGCTACCCAGACAGAACAAAGCCAGGACAATTTTTCTCCATAGAAGAGTGGCTACCCAGACAAAACGAAGTCAGGACAATCTGTCTCCATAGAAGAGTGGCTACCCAGACAAAACGAAGTGAGGACAATCAGCCTCCATAGAAGAGTGGCTACCCAGACAAAACGAAGTCAGGACAATCAGTCTCCTTAGAAGAGTGGCTACCCTGACAAAACGAAGTCAGGACAATCTGTCTCCATAGAAGAGTGGCTACCCAGACAAAACGAAGTCAGGACAATCAGCCTCTATAGAAGAGTGGCTACCCAGACAAAACGAAGTCAGGACAATCAGCCTCCATAGAAGAGTGGCTACCCAGACAAAACAAAGCCAGGACAATCTGTCTCCATAGAAGAGTGGCTACCCAGACAAAACGAAGTGAGGACAATCAGCCTCCATAGAAGAGTGGCTACCCAGACAAAACGAAGTCAGGACAATCAGCCTCCATAGAAGAGTGGCTACCCAGACAAAACGAAGTCAGGACAATCTGTCTCCATAGAAGAGTGGCTACCCAGACAAAACGAAGTCAGGACAATCAGCCTCTATATAAGAGTGGCTACCCAGACAAAACGAAGTCAGGACAATCAGCCTCCATAGAAGAGTGGCTACCCAGACAAAACGAAGTCAGGACAATCAGCCTGTGTGTAGAAACCAGTCAAGATCCTGAATAATTGCGGCGACCAGGATAAAGAAGAACAGAACAACGTGTTTCAGCAGCAAGGCTGTCTGTTGAAAGCTGTGTCCCGGGTATCGATATGCCAGCATCAAAGAAGACGCCCGGAAACCAGTGATCAGTTGTTAGTCCCTAACATTATCGATCACTGGCCTGCTAGCGTTGCTGGGCACGCCCAGTGCACTTGTTCTCGTGCCCGCCAAATATCGCATCCTCCTCTATCACTCGTCTGTGCTTGTTTTGGGATGTTGTTTTTAATTGCTGTTTCGGATAAATAAATATAACTGTCTTGTTGTTTGTTGATTGTATGTACCTTAGAGAGAAGCATGCAGTCATAGTCGCAGGCACGTTTCCTTGTCGATCCAGGGGGGTGGGAGTGGTAGATTCCAGTCTGCGTTGATGCCGAATTGTAAATGTGACATAAGTTCCTTAGCCAGCACAGCCTCAAATGATAAAAAAAGTTTTGGGAAACTAAGGTGAACATATCTCATCTGACGATCATTTCTGCTATCTTCTTCTTTTTCGTGGGTGTCAACCCTTTGTCTAAGCCAGTGTGTACGAGATCCAGTCAGCTCATCTGAGTTTGTTTGTATACTGACCGTTATATGTGGATTCTCCCGTGTTGGTTCCGGGGCCCCATTGTGGGGAAAACAAGAATAGACCCACTGCCTCCCCAAAAGCATGTCGTAAGAATCGACTAATTGGGGAGCTTCCTTTGAAGTCGGAGTGCATCTGCCGGAGAGGCAAGGTACCAACAGTCTGTATTCAAGAGAAGGAGATCTGTAAAACTGATGCACACGCAACACTTAGGTTCTGGAGCAGGACTGCAGTTCAGTAGTGGACGAGCAACCAGAACTTTCCGCCAGAGTGTACAGCAGGTGAACGCGAAGAAGAAGAAGATATGTGGATTCTGGTATGCTTTTGTTTTATTGCAGATGTTGGAATGGTGTAGATGTTGGATTGGTGTAGATGTTGGATTGGTGTAGATGTTGGATTGGTGAAGAGTGTTGGATTGTTGTAGATGTTGGATTATTGTAGAGGTTGGATTATTGTAGATGTTGGATTATTGTAGATGTTGGATTGCATAAAGTATCGAAATCGCCTACGTTTGACGACACAGGTGTGTAATGATCCGATGATGGAAATTCAGATTTTGGTTTATTTTGATGTTAAAAATATTTCTTTTTCTTTAAACATATGTTAATTAATGAATTTTTAGTTCTGTATGATGTGTGATTGTTTGGTAATTTGGTTCATGTTTAAATAAATGATCATCCCTGCCTTCTGTAGATGTTTGATTGTTTGGTAACTTGGTTCGTGTTTAAATAAATGATCATCCCTGCCTTCTGTAGATGTTTGATTGTTTGGTAACTTGGTTCATGTTTAAATAGATAGATGATCATAACTGTCTTCTGTAGATGTTTGATTGTTTGGGAACTTGGTTCATGTTCAAATAGATGATCACCACTGTCTTCTGTAGATGTTTGATTGTTTGGTAACTTGGTTCATGTTTACATAGATAGATTATCATAACTGTCTTCTGTAGATGTTTGATTGTTTGGTAACTTGGTTCATGTTTACATAGATAGATTATCATAACTGTCTTCCGTAGATGTGTGATTACTCTAAAGATTACTTGATATAGCTCCTAAATGTTATTTATGTTTAAGTCCGGTATACTAGTTTGATTGTTCTGTTTGAATCCTGTTTGCTTATTTTATTGTTCTAAGTGTTACAATCCTGTTTGCTTATTTTATTGTTCTAAGTGTTACAATCCTGTTTGCTTATTTTATTGTTCTAAGTGTTACAATCCTGTTTGCTTATTTGATTGTTCTAAGTGTTACAATCCTGTTTGCTTATTTGATTGTTCTAAGTGTTACAATCCTGTTTGCTTATTTTATTGTTCTAAGTGTTACAATCCTGTTTGCTTATTTTATTGTTCTAAGTGTTACAATCCTGTTTGCTTATTTTATTGTTCTAAGTGTTACAATCCTGTTTGCTTATTTGATTGTTCTAAGTGTTACAATTCTGTTTGCTTATTTGATTGTTCTAAGTGTTACAATCCTGTTTGCTTATTTTATTGTTCTAAGTGTTACAATCCTGTTTGCTTATTTTATTGTTCTAAGTGTTACAATCCTGTTTGCTTTTTTTTATTGTTCTAAGTGTTACAATCCTGTTTGCTTATTTTATTGTTCTAAGTGTTACAATCCTGTTTGCTTATTTTATTGTTCTAAGTGTTACAATCCTGTTTGCTTATTTTATTGTTCTAAGTGTTACAATCCTGTTTGCTTATTTAATTGTTCTAAGTGTTACAATCCTGTTTGCTTATTTTATTGTTCTAAGTGTTACAATCCTGTTTGCTTATTTTATTGTTCTAAGTGTTACAATCCTGTTTGCTTATTTGATTGTTCTAAGTGTTACAATCCTGTTTGCTTATTTGATTGTTCTAAGTGTTACAATCCTGTTTGCTTATTTTATTGTTCTAAGTGTTACAATCCTGTTTGCTTATTTTATTGTTCTTAGTGTTACAATCCTGTTTGCTTATTTTATTGTTCTAAGTGTTACAATCGTGTTTTTTTTATTTGATTGTTCTAAGTGTTACAATCGTGTTTATTTATTTGATTGTTCTAAGTGTTACAATCGTGTTTATTTATTTGATTGTTCTAAGTGTTACAATCGTGTTTATTTATTTGATTGTTCTAAGTGTTACAATCGTGTTTATTTATTTGATTGTTCTAAGTGTTTCAATCGTGTATATTTATTTGATTGTTCTAAGTGTTACAATCGTGTTTATTTATTTGATTGTTCTAAGTGTTACAATCTTGTATATTTATTTGATTGTTCTAAGTGTTACAATCGTGTATATTTATTTGATTGTTCTAAGTGTTACAATCGTGTATATTTATTTGATTGTTCTAAGTGTTACAATCGTGTATATTTATTTGATTGTTCTAAGTGTTACAATCGTGTATATTTATTTGATTGTTCTAAGTGTTACAATCGTGTATATTTATTTGATTGTTCTAAGTGTTACAATCGTGTATATTTATTTGATTGTTCTAAGTGTTACAATCGTGTATATTTATTTGATTGTTCTAAGTGTTACAATCGTGTTTATTTATTTGATTGTTGTAACTTTTAAAATCCTGTTTGCTAATTTCATTGTTTAATTGTTCTCAATGTTTAAAATTTAAATGATTATTTTATTGCTCTTACTTTTAAAAATCTCTTTGTTTGTTTTATTGTTCTAAACGTTTAAATCCTGAAGGTTTATTTTGTTGTTCTCAATGTTTAAATTTTAAATGATTATTTTATTGTTCTAACTTTTAAAAATCTGTTTGTTTGTTTTATTGTTCTAAACGTTTAAATCCTGAAGGTTTATTTTGTTGTTCTAAATGTTTAACTCCTAAATGTTTATTTTATTGTTCTACATTTTTTTTAGTCCTTTTGGTTTGTTTGATTGTTCTAAATGTTTCAAATAGGTTCTAAGTCAGTAACAATTCTTATTCCCCTATTGTTGTTGCTTTTGTTGTTGTTTGTCTTCTTCTTCTTCTTCTTCTTCTTCTTCTTCTTCTTCTTCTTCTTCTTCTTCTTCTTCTTCTTCTTCTTCTTCTTCTTCTTCTTCTTCTTCTTCTTCTTCTTCTTCTTCTTCTTCTTCTTCTTCTTCTTCTTCTTCTTCTTCTTCTTCTTCTTCTTCTTCTTCTTCTTCTTCTTCTTCTTCTTCTTCTTCTTCTTCTTCTTCTTCTTCTTCTTCTTCTTCTTCTTCTCTTCTTCTTCTTCTTCTTCTTCTTCTTCTTCTTCTTCTTCTTCTTCTTCTTCTTCTTCTTCTTCTTCTTCTTCTTCTTCTTCTTCTTCTTCTTCTTCTTCTTCTTCTTCTTCTTCTTTCTTCTTCTTCTTCTTCTTCTTCTTCTTCTTCTTCTTCTTCTTCTTCTTCTTCTTCTTCTTCTTCTTCTTCTTCTTCTTCTTCTTCTTCTTCTTCTTCTTCTTCTTCTTCTTCTTCTTTCTTCTTCTTCTTCTTCTTCTTCTTCTTCTTCTTCTTCTTCTTCTTCTTCTTCTTCTTCTTCTTTTTCTTCTTCTTCTTCTTCTTCTTCTTCTTCTTCTTCTTCTTCTTCTTCTTCTTCTTCTTTTCTTCTTCTTCTTCTTCTTCTTCTTCTTCTTCTTCTTCTTCTTCTTCTTCTTCTTCTTCTTCTTCTTCTTCTTCTTCTTCTTCTTCTTCTTCTTCTTCTTCTTCTTCTTCTTCTTCTTCTTCTTCTTCTTCTTCTTCTTCTTCTTCTTCTTCTTCTTCTTCTTCTTCTTCTTCTTCTTCTTCTTCTTCTTCTTCTTCTTCTTCTTCTTCTTCTTCTTCTTCTTCTTCTTCTTCTTCTTCTTCTTCTTCTTCTTCTTCTTCTTCTTCTTCTTCTTCTTCTTCTTCTTCTTCTTCTTCTTCTTCTTCTTCTTCTTCTTCTTCTTCTTCTTCTTCTTCTTCTTCTTCTTCTTCTTCTTCTTCTTCTTCTTCTTCTTCTTCTTCTTCTTCTTCTTCTTCTTCTTCTTCTTCTTCTTCTTCTTCTTCTTCTTCTTCTTCTTCTTCTTCTTCTTCTCTTCTTCTTCTTCTTCTTCTTCTTCTTCTTCTTCTTCTTCTTCTTCTTCTTCTTCTTCTTCTTCTTCTTCTTCTTCTTCTTCTTCTTCTTCTTCTTCTTCTTCTTCTTCTTCTTCTTCTTCTTCTTCTTCTTCTTCTTCTTCTTCTTCTTCTTCTTCTTCTTCTTCTTCTTCTTCTTCTTCTTCTTCTTCTTCTTCTTCTTCTTCTTCTTCTTCTTCTTCTTCTTCTTCTTCTTCTTCTTCTTCTTCGCTTCGTCTTCGTCTTCTTCTCCTTCTTCTTCTTCTTCTCCTTCTCCTTCTCCTCCTTCTCCTTCTCCTTCTTCTTCATCTTCTTCTTCTTCTTCTTCTTCTTCTTCTTCTTCTTCTTCTTTTTCTTCTTCTTCTTCTTCTTCTTCTTCTTCTTCTTCTTCATCTTCTCCCTCTCCTCCTCCTCCCCCTCCCTTCTTCTTCTTCTTCTTCTTCTTCTTCTTTTTCTTCTTCTTCTTCTTCTTCTTCTTCTTCTTCTTCATCTTCTCCCTCTCCTCCTCCTCCCCCTCCCTTCTTCTTCTTCTTCTTCTTCTTCTTCTTCTTCATCTTCTTCCCATCCTCCTCCTTCTCCTTGTCCTAGTCATCGTCCTCCTCCTCCTCCTTCTTCTTTGTTCTGATCTTCTATTTTTCAGGTAAACATAAGTTCTTAATGTAATTTTATGTAACCTATTTTTTGTTGTTGTTTTTTTGTTTGTTTGTTATGATAGTGTTTGTACCACTTAGTTGTGAAAGTTGTTGTACCTCTTAGTTGAAGCTCTGTATTGCGCACCGTGAATTAAAACCTACGCACTTCGTCGCTTCTTACGACACACTTGACAGTGTGCAGGATTACTCTGCTGTCCCCATGTCCCCTCACAAACAAACATTCTTATTCTTAATCCACTGACGCGTTCATCTCTCCGAAATATGAATCCAAAACAGACGCCGACACCCCCTATGATGTAGTATTGACTGTCCCATGCTCCCCGAAAAAGTGAACTAGGCCAGGCTCCGGCACAGAGAGAAGGCCTCAGCCAGAGGGGCGGGGCTTCACCAGGACGTGTTGTCGGCGGTGTCTGTGACACCGATCTCAGCCCCAAGGAAACACAAGGGCATCGTTTACAGCTGTAGGTGTAGGGAGAGGGGCTGCGGGTCTGACCCACTGTTGTGGACACCTCAACCACTCTTGTCGAGGTGGAGCTTGTAATAAGTACACTATTTCTTTCGTTTCGGTCATTAATTACAGTTTTATTTTTAGCAGCTGTGAAAAATCTACGAGAAATATACTTTAACAAAGACAAGTTTTTTAAAATTTCAAGTGTTATTTTCTGTCCCCCTGTAGCTTAGGGTACAATTGTTTTACTTTAAAATCAGTTAGTGTTCAGATAAAAACTTCTTTCAGTGACATTTCTCACAAAGGCAGCTTGAAATCGTGTGTCAGCTTCTTGTTGAATTGATTGATGGCTGCGAGACAAGCATAAATAGAGGTGTTACGGTAGAGATGTGTGCAAATGTCAAGGGTTTACAGTAGACAACTATCAGGGCGTACTGCGGGCCGCTGGTGTCGGGTTGTAGCTGCAGCTGCAGGGGAGGAAAGCCATGCTCTTGTACTGCTACACAGACCACGGCTGCAGCGTCTGGCTTGGCCTTGGCGACATGTCTGTCTGGCCGCCTCTGTCTGGCAGCCTATCTTTCTGACTGTCTGTCTGACTGGTAGCCTATCTTTCTGACAGTCTGTCTGGTAGCTCATCTTTCAGACAGTCTGCCTGTCTGGCCGCCTCTGTCTGGCAACGTATCTGTCTGTCGGTCGGTCTGCCTAGCATATTTATTACCATATCTGTCGACACAACACATTTGACTGCCTTGTAAGATATCTGTCTGTCTAGCAACTGGTTTGCAGTCTGGCTGTTTATTTGGCAATCTGTACTGCTACTTGGCCACCTGGCTGTTTGCCTAGCATTATACCTTTCTGTTTTTCTGTCCAGCCTGTCTTTCTGTCTGCCAACTTATTTTTCTGTTTGTCAGAGTGCTTGCCTGTCTACACATTTGCTTGTTTAAATTAATCTGGCTGTTTACTTAACCTTGCATGTTTATGAGTGCCCTTTCTTCTATCTGTCTGACAGTACGCCTGTCTGTGCTACGTCTGGTTAGACTATGAATGAAAAGCCCAACAGATAGTACTTACTTGTATCCCTATTGTAGCCTCTGTTGTATCCCTGTGAAAGTAGTATCTGTTTTATCCATATTGTAGCTTCTTTTGTATCCCTGTGAAAGTAGTATCTGTTTTATCCATATTGTAGCTTCTTTTGTATCCCTGTGAAAGTAGTATCTGTTTTATCCATATTGTAGCTTCTTTTGTTTCCCTGTGAAAGTAGTATCTGTTTTATCCATATTGTAGCTTCTTTTGTATCCCTGTGAAAGTAGTATCTGTTTTATCCATATTGTAGCCTCTGTTGTATCCCTGTGAAAGTAGTATCTGTTTTATCCATATTGTAGCCTCTGTTGTATCCCTGTGAAAGTAGTATCTGTTTTATCCATATTGTAGCCTCTGTTGTATCCCTGTGATAGTAGTGTCTGTTTTATTCAATTTGTAGCCTGTGTTTTATCTCTGTGATAACCGTTTGTTGTATCCCGTTTGTAGCCTCTACTGTTGTATCCCGATGTAGCCTCTACTGTTGTATCCCGATGTAGCCTCTATTGTAGCCCTCTGGCATTCCTAATGTGGTCTGTCTGAAACCATGTTGTAGCCCTCTGGTAGCCTGTATGCAGCTGCACATGTTGCACATTGCCCTGGCTTTTTTATTACTGTTATTTGTACTTAGTATCAAACCAGTACTGTTACAATGATTGTAGAATGTGTACTGTTACAATGATTGTAGAATGTGTACTGTTACAATGATTGTAGCATGTGTACTGTTACAATGATTGTAGCATCAATTTACAATGATTGTAGCATGTGTACTGTTAGAATGATTGTAGGATCCATATACAATGATTGTTACATGTGTACTGATACAATGATCACAGCATCAATATACAATGATTGTAACATATGTACAGTTACATGGTACAGCTACTTCCGTGACAGTGATTTATTATCAAATGTTTTACAATCATTGTAGTATTGTAATTGCTAATCATTGTAGTATTGTAATTGCTAGTCATTGTAGTATTGTAATTGCCAATCATTGTAGTATTGTAATTGCTACTCATTGTAGTATTCTAATTGCTAGTCATTGTAGTATTGTAATTGTTAGTCATTGTAATATTGTAATTGCTAGTCATTGTAATATTGTAATTGCTAGTCATTGTAGTATTGGAAATGCTACATTGATTATTATGTCAAAACCTGTTCTTTCATTTTATTATTAGAATTTGTTGCAGCGATTAAAGTATCAGAATTGTTGAATTGTTTGTAAAATTATTACTAGTACATTGATTTTTTTATTGAAACTGTTTTATGGATTTAAATATTGCAACCGTA